GCCACCACCGCCTAACGGCCAACCACCCCAATCCTCCTCGCAATAACACCGTCCGGCTCACGAGACCGTCGGCCCGCTGCAACCAACCAACCAAGCCACCGCGATCTCCCTCTCGCGACTCGCCTCGATCGCTCTGTCCGGATGAGAGAAAAGAAAATATCATCATGCTCCTTATTTTCCATGCTGTTTTCTTTTTTTTTTTGCTCTCTCTGTTCGACGATTCTGGATTTTTCTTTTTCTTTGCCTTTTTTTCCTTGGGTAACGTGAATCTTGTCGGGTAGAACGGAGTTTGTTATAGGTTTTCAACCTGTTCACTGGGGAAGGGTTAGGTTGTTGCTGATTAGCTAAATTTGGGACTATGGTGAATGTTTTCGTGGTTTTGAGAAAATAGGGAATTATGTAAAGCTGTTGAAAATTTCGAGAGTTAGGACGTGGTAGTTTGTTCCTTTTCTGTTGCGCTGTTGGGATTTTGTCGGTGAATATTTTCAGTGAAATTTCCAATTTTCACCTGATTTCACTCGAAAATTTTCGGAGACAATCGAACGTCTTGCAGTGTATTCACGTTTGCATAAACTAGGATCAAATGAGAAGTTATCATTTTCACTCATTTTCAATTGCAAACTGGAGAGATTCTAATTTTGCTTGAGAAATAAACTCAGTTAACAAACTCAGTTGAGAGTTAGACATTGACAATGATTGAGAATTTTGAGAGGCAATAGAACCTCATGCATCGTGTTCACGTTTGCAAGAACTAAGATAAAGAGAGGAGTTATCATTTTTTTCTCATTTTTAATTGCAAACTACAGACATTCGAATTTTGTTAGAAAGATAAACCCAGTTAACAGCTTGGGGGTTAGAAATTGATACTGATTTAGAATTTTGAGAGACAATCGAACACGTTTGCAAAAACTAAGATGAAGTGAAAAGTTATCAAGCTGAAGAGATTGAATTTCTCTTTGATAGATAAACCCAGTTAACTTAGAGTAACGTTTATGCAAATTCGAATCTTCAACTCTGCTGTTGAAAATTTCGAGAGACATTCGAACAATCGTATTCACATTTGCAAAAACTAGGACGAAGCGACAAGTTATTTTTACACATTTTTAATTGCAAACTGGAGAGATCAAATTTCTCTTTGAGAGATGGAACCCAGTTAACAGGTTGAAAGTTAGAAATTGATAATGATTCAGGTGGATTAACACGTTGAGCTTCAACTTTCCACTCAGGCTATAATTTCGTATAAGAAATTAACCGATACATAATAATCACGTACAGTGATACGTTTTTTAATTCTCTGCGTGAAAATAGCGTACATAACGAATGCAACAATCGGTGGTCCACGCAGCCTAAATGGAAAGTCACGCAAAAATTGAATCGATCAAAATACGACCTGGCTTATTACAGATTCTCAATTCTTTTCCGTATTTTCTTCTTTTTCACATTCGTCAATTTTGCTATCTCACAAAGTACAAATAGCATTTAAATTTCAATGGAATCGTTGCCTGGGTCGTTCATACTTCCCGATTCTTCTTAATTAATCCTTTAATCCCTCTTTAAATTATTCCCAAGTAATCGTAATAATATTCTGAAAGAGGATTCGAAAGTAAATTTATCTAAATCGTTTAAACTGAAATTAATGTCAATTGCTCTTTAACCCCTTAACTTTTCTCAATTTCTACCAAAAGTCATCAATTTTATATTCTTTCAATTACTTCCTAGGCGCAATAAAAATTAATTTCCCGTTCATTTGTAATACTCTAATTTAAATTTCCACTATAAAATAGAAATTACAACGCAATATGGAAACTGAGACAAAATAATCAAACAAAATTGCAGTTTTTCGAGCATTAACCCCTTGACATGATTAATTAAATTCGACAATCTTCAGTTTTCCAAAATAAACCTAATTTTCCTTATCGATATAACTGTCTTTACCAAATCTTCACCAAAATCTGTGCCAAGACTGTCTCGTTATTGCAAAACAAAGGATTAATCACCTATAATAGCACGAACGTCAAAGGGTCGCTCAAAAAACCCACCTAAATTTAATTAAAAACAGTCACCCAATTCTCCCCCCCCAAAAAACACCAATTCCCTCGAGAAGTCTGAGTGACCAAGTTGAAACGACCTATCTTAAAAAGAAAAGAAAAGAAAAGAAACCCAAACAGAAGCCTGTTTATTAGAATTTCCAACGTAGCCACGATCTGGCTGGTTGAAGCTTCTAAAAAGCCATCCAGAATCGTTCTCTAACCGCGGGGTCCGCCGAGCAAAAGAGAGTTCCGACAGGATCGATCGCAGTCGGGTCCTCCGTTCCAAGCACGAAACGATCTCGTTTTATCCGCGTGTTCGTCGCGCCACGTCTTTCAATTCCACGTTCCAAGCCACACAAGCTCCGCTGTGTTCCGTTCCAGTGACGATGCATCGAAACGCGAGAGGGAGAAGAAGACGAAGTCGAAGAAGAAGAAGAAGAAAGAAGAAGAGGAGATCTGACTTCGAGCCCGACCGGGGCTCGGTGTTTGCGGCGGTTCAACGCGACTGGCGACTTCCGGCAAGTCGAACATTGTAATATAAGTATTGTATCTAGTCTGTCAACTTGTCGATAAGAAACTGCTCGTGGAACGATTAATAATTATACAGATATTTTGTCGAAGAACGCGGGACACACACAAACACACAAACACGAAACACAGTTCTGTCTCTGTCTTTCTATCTCTCCATTTCTCTATCTTTTTTCCTTTTTTTTTATTGCTTGTTTCTGTTCTTTTTTA